TTTTGATAACACTTTATGTAAGAAACAATTGTTTCTTCATTGACACTTCACTGGAAAGGCCTAATTGCAAAACTCTATTGAATAACAATAATCAGTGCTTTCGATTTCGTTTTCTCAACATTAATTACTGAGATGCTGCAAAGTTACTCCATTGCTTTAACTCCTCATGATCTTTAAACCTGACTTTCTTAGCTAAAATGCTTGGACCTAGGATACTTCTCAAAAGATTAGAAAAGTTTCGTGCGCAAACAGATGAACCTTCGCAAATTTAGTATGTTAGCTGGGAAAACAGTTTTGGAATTGTGATAAACAATGCTGAGCAAAAAACTCGTAAAATCATTCTTAAACCACCTCATTATATTTTCTGTCCAGTCCTCCCAGCTGTTTGCCGTTCTCAACATAGACCAACTTTTGCACAGTTACAAATGAAGATGACTAAAAAAGTGATTTAGAACACAATTTTTACATGACACCACATAAGAAAAGTTTTCCTAGAGAATATCTACGCTACTCTGTTTAGTTCTATCTAAGTTTTATCTTTTTGTCACCTAAACCTATAATAGTAAGTAAATAATTAAAAAAGAGCAATACGCCAAGGCATATACAACCTTGAAAAAAAAAAAAAAAAGCTGATACATCTAAAGTGGTGAAAAGTCGCAAATAAAAACAAGTCATTGCAAGGAAGATGAGAATAAATGCAATAACGCCCTAATAAAAGCTTTTTTTTGCAATTTTAAGCTTCATTTTGATCCGTCCGCACTAGCTGAAGAATCCAGTGGCCTCAAACGCCTGCACAAATTCTTGCCCTGATGGCAACATCACTCAAGTTGTTCACGGATCCCCCTTCAGTTTCGTTTGCAAAACCATCTTATTGAATTTCCATGGCTAACGAGAGACAGGCGCCTCAAGTAAAACTTCGCACTTTCCAAAAGGCAGCCATATTGACCACAGCTTTCTATCTACCATAATTCAAGAACAATACTCCTCATCTTGTGAAAGTACCACAGCTTTGACACACCAAGACCGTAGGTTTCCCAATTCTGGCAACCGCCAGACCTTCTTTGAAGTCCCATTACAAAACAATTGTTTCGCCATGCAATTCAAAAATTTCAAGGGGGCGCATAAGTCTAACGAACCTTCGCATCCCTTCACCTGGTGGTGCCTCAAAATAGAAAGTCAACCTCTAGTGCATACGCAAGACTGGTTACTTATTCCTGCGCAGAAAATGATTACAAGATCTGCTCCTAAAGTGGTGAGCACCCATTATATAACTTTCAATCCAACTATAAGAATTTTTACAAATGTTTACTCAGCAGTTCATAAAAGGTAATAATACTCATTAGATCAATCTCCAAAAACATTAATTTGAGAATTTCAAGAACAATGTAAATGTAATTTCAAAACACTGAGATCTTCCACCAACATTTTGCGCATCTTTCATCGGACAATCAAAAAATTTCATTAAAAGAATACAAAAACCACTGGTGGTTTTTCATCGGTGAATAATAAACAGACAATGATGACAATGAAAAGACGACATGGCATATGCAAATTACCTTTATGACGTTCAACCGGAGCTCATAAAAACCAGAATATTATGCCAAAAATTTACTTAGCACAAATGAACAAAAATGCTGAAGAGCAGGTAGCACTAATTTCTAGTACTAATCTTTATGCAGCGCTTTCTTAAGCGAACTAAACAGAAGAAGGAAATTACAACGTAAAAAAAAGAAAATCAATCCTTTTTCCCACTATAAACATAGCACTAAAATGGCCCTTTAAAAAGGCAAAATAAATCTTCGCGCAGCAATATGTCAGACAAATTCTGCTTTCAAAAGTCAGAACTGCAATATATAAAATCACGTTACAAAAAAAGAAAATAATTTTTGATGAGAATCGCTTCTTCACTTCTTTCCCGAAATGAACCTTCTAAACGTGCTGAGGCCTACCACTGTTTTCCAGAAAAACTAAAAACAACAGAAGTCATTAATGTCTCTCATTGTAAGATCGGAACGCAAGCTCCTTAAGCATGCGTGATGTTTCTTCTCCTGTTTCAGCAACTAACGCGCTGAATGCACCTTGCTCGTTCCTGAGTAACACATATGGAACGTCAAACTCGACCAGTGTTCCGCTGTCCAAGACCTAAAAGTGAAGTTGCTGTAAAAATTTGAGCTGCTTTATGCATCTGGCCCTTAGCTTCGTAATAAATGATACCATTATTTTGTCAGATTGCATAATTGTATGTAGACGATGAGCAATAGTCAGCACTGTCGATTCAGCAAAATTCATTTTAATAGCTTTCTGAATCAAGCTGTCAGTCCTAAGAAAAATAATAATGTTAACAAGAATATGCGTGCCAAAGGTGTAAGATGCCAAGGTAGTAACAGCTTGCTTCTCACAAACCTAACCATCATTCAGCTAAAATACCCCACACGTGTTTATCAGAAGTACAAAGAAAAAAGAATTGATTACAATAACGCATTCATTTGCCTATACAAGGCAGACTAGGTACAATAGCGCAACTACCGCTTACTCTAGATCAACGTTCGCCGTGGCTTCGTCAATGACAAGAATTCGAGCATTTTTTAAGATTGCCCTAGCTAAGCAAATCAACTGCCTCTGGCCGACTGAAAAATTTGCGCCACCCTCCTTCATATGTGTGTCCAGGCCTAAAGGTAAACCGGAAACAAAACCCTTGAGTTCAACCTGAAAAAAAAATAAGTTGCCGCCTTGCAAACAGAACCAATTTCTTCGAGATCCCAAAAAACTCCTCTTCAAGTGAACTTCAAAAATGAACTCCAATTCTACAAAACTGTGCCTGTTCCAAAGCCCTCCATAATTTGTCTTCGGTGTAATCATCAAATGGGTCAAGATTCTGTCGTAAAGAACCAATAAACAAGACAGGATCCTATATAAAAGAGAATAAATTAGTAAACAGTAATCATATAAATTTTAGCGCTAAATACAAGTCTTTAAATAGCATGCAATTACCTGTGGAATAATAGATAATCTCTTCCTTAACTCGCAGAGCTGTGTTTCCTTAGTATTTAGGTTATCAATAACAACACCACCCTCTGACTCTGTCAGCCGAAACAAAACGTTTAACAAAGAACTTTTCCCTGCTCCTGTACGCCCTACAATCCCGACCTGGAAACAACTTCAAAAGACCTGTAAAAGTATAAATAATCTACCGCGTGCAAATCTGTAAAAAAACCTTACTTTTTCTTTAGAACGTATCTCGAAATTGATATTCTTAAGAACGTACGGACCAAATGGATTGTAACGCATCGCAACCTGGAAGAACTCAACAGAGCGATAAGTCTATACAACACAATGCTAAAAAACATTTTACATTGAAAATTAAAGTACATTTCTGAAGGAAATATTGCCCCACTGAGGCCAATCTTCAGGTGGTTTACTACCCTTTCTAACATCTTCTACAGGAAGCTCGACATACTTGATAATCCTCTCAACAGAAACCATCTGTAAAAGAAATTACCATTGGCAAACCTTTTGCTCACGTATGGAGAACTTGCAAAAATATAAGACACTTTTCATACATATAAAGGAACAAAGTGAGAAAAAATAGGACGAAACGTTAACAACAATGTCAAATAAATATATCTGATTTCCAAACCGCATTTTGAAGTTCTGCGCTCTGTCTCATAATCCACGAAAAAAATCCTGTCAACTGTACTACATAAACTAACATTAAACCAACTTCGCCGCCATTAAGCAGTCCTGTAACTTGTTCAATCAATTTTCTTACTTACCATATCAAAACCTTCTATAAAGTGTCATTGTGAATACTGTGAGCAAAGAACCTTCTCCTTACCTGAAGAAAAGACAGAGAAAAAAGCAACTATGGCAATAAACACTGCCACTAAATAATCAATTACTGATCCAAACCATCGAGCAGTAACTATACTTAGATAAAAAGCCGCTGAGTTGAAATCCTGCACAAAACACAGACTGCGTATCAAGAAGACATTACTCCATAGAAAAGATACAAAAAATACACATAAGACAACAAAAAACTAAATTTAAGGAAAACACCAGCTGAACTTGATGATACTGTAACGTTCTAGAACTTCAATCAAACCTATCGCACGAACTAGAAAGAAGATATTCAGAAAACCCTTCAGTTGAAAGAAGGACCTGGAAAAAGCAGAATTTATCCATTGACAGGGCTTGATTTCTATACGATCGGACTGTTGGCAAACCATGCAAAACGGCGGATATATGTGAATACAGTGGGCTTCTCGCTGAAAACTTCCACTAAAACATTTTTCTCATGCGGAATTATTGAGATAAGGCTCGACTGAAAAATCTAAAAAAAAAATAAATTTACTTGTCGCTTCTAGACGTTTGATATCTCTTGATGACGAAAGGTAGAACTGTCTCAAAAACCAGAAAAGAAATGAAAGTGGGAAGAATGGCAGGAAAATGAGGGGATTTAAAAGCAACACAACTACTACTATTCCACCAATTTGCAAAGCGCCCTAAAAAACCTTTCGTAGAAACAAAATTAAAGTCTCAAGAAATTGCTCGTTTTTGCTAAGAAAAAACCTATCACATGCTTTTTTATCAAGACATTCAAGAAGATAAACTTAGATGAACCCTTACCGCAACCATGTCAAAGAATACAAAAGACAACTGATCGTCCATAGTTCCAACATCTTTCGAAAACCTGTTAAGTATTCTGCCTAAATTCACAAATGAAGATCACACAAAACAGTAGATTACCACGAATATGAAATCCTTTGCAAAGTAAGATAATTAAAAAATAGCCAATTTTTTGAATCTGAAAACGCATTTGGGAACCTAAAAAAAAGACATGCCAATAGGATTGTAGTCAAAAAATAACACTGGAGTTTTCACTACTGTATTGAACATCTGGTTGTGAAGGACACGAGACCCATTTATCTGCGCCAAACGAAACAAAATACACCTGGAATTATAGATAAATTTGTATGCAAAAATCCAAGATGCTCTAGCCTCTTCAAATACGGACACCAACACTGATTTCAGCTTCACTTTCAAAAGCCCAACCTCAGAACAGAGATGACCATATATGCGAAAACCATTGCAGCGTAAGAATTTCTGTAATCTGTAACAGATAAATCCAAACTGATTAATTCATGGTTGATTCTTTCAACAAAAACAGTGGAATTAAATTCCTGTTCGGTAGAATCATTTGACGCATCCCGCAAAAACGACGAAGCTTTTTCCGATGCAGTAGACCTGAAGCACGTAGACAACCTAATTCTTTATCCTGCTCATAAAACTATTAAAAGTAGGAATAAATCTTACCACCAAATTGCAGGAAAACAAATATCTTCCTTAACGCACATAATTGCTTAAAACTAGAAAAATGAACTAAAAAAAAGATCATAAAATTACCACTTATTAAGCCACCAGTCTATGAAATTGCTGAAGATCTGCGCTAGAAGAGCAAATGCCAGTGCGCAAAACAGCAGAACACTACGAGATCCCATTGCTTTCAAGTAAAGGAAATAGATTCGCCATGATACATCGCCAGTGGCCCGATCTTCCTCCATACTATTCTTTGCCTTTTCTTCCTCAGCCTTCAAAAATCTCTAATTTTGAAAAGTACAGCAACAAACCATTTTACCAAACTACTACACAAAAAATTTGAAGTCTAGACTTCTACGACCACCAAACAGTAAATATCACATAAGGAACCTACAACGCTTGCCGTTTTATTCGAAATCTCGGACAACAACGATGGGCTTAAAGAATTCAACCGAGTTGTTTTGCTTCGCTGCCCTTTGGAAGAAGGTACTCGACTTCCATTTTCCAGGCTCTTGTTCATGAGCGGAGAAGTTTCTCCTAAAAGCTTTGAAGAGCGGAAGATACGCAGTGCTTAATACGTAAGAAGGTTTCATAAGATAAGAGGGTCAGAATCAATAGAAGTACCGCCGCATTAAAAGATACCTACCTGCAACGCTGGTATCATTCTCGTCTTCCTCAAAAATTTCCTCATAAACGTCCGACATGTCTAAAAATCGAGATGAAGATATGCTCTCACAGTCTGAAGTCCGACGACTATAAGACTTTTCCGTTTCCTAAAAATAAAGTAAACTGATCTCTATTAGAAATCAATCTTCAAAGCCCTTTCAAACAAATCCTCTCTATAAATTTAAAACAAAGAAATTAAAGGTCAAATACTCCTCAACCAATACTTTTATTATTTCTAGAAAACTACTCAAGCCTTCTAGTTCCTTCATAGTTCCAGATGCGACAATATGAGAGTCTTGCATTAAGAGTATGAGCTTCGCACTGCCTAAGAATTGTATTTGATGCGTGACGAGAATTATTAATTTCTGTTTAAGAAAACCGCTAATACACCTGAAAAAAAAATTATTATTTGGAAATCATACAATTGAAAATACTTAATAAAATTTACGTTCTGAACAGATATCGACCAACTGCTGCATCAACTGCAGAAAGCGGATCGTCTAAGATGTAAATATCTGCATCGCTGTACACTGCACGGGCCAGACTAATACGAGCTTTCTGGCCACCACTCAATGAGTGACCTTGATCTCCAACTGTAGAGGCATCACCAAAAGGTAACTGAGAGAAATCCTGAAAGATTGTTAAGGAGTAGGAGGAACGTTAATAAGTCTGGATGAGCGAGAAAACAACAAGAAAACCAGAACTGGATAAGAAAATAATACTTTGCTGAGCGAGCAAACGCGAATGACCTCATGATATTTCTTCTTATCATACGCACTACCAAACAAAATGTTTTCTCTCACTGTGCCAGGAAATATCCAAGGTTCTTGGGGAACATATGCAATCCTACCGCTGATATCTAACTTGCCATTAACCAGTCTCGTTTCGCGCAACAGTGACATCAACAGAGAGGACTATAATTATATTACCACGCATTTCAATTATAAATAAGCAACAGAGCAGAGTCTACCTTGCCACATCCGACTGGCCCTATAATAGCAACCAGATCACCACTGCTTGCCGTAAACGAACACTCCCGTACAGCCAAAAACAGTTCACTCTCTTTCTAAAAAACTGAACTTATTTATAGCTAAAAAACTGAGCATCAATAAGGATCATCCTGTATCACTAAAAAACCTAAAATAACATAAATTATTTCAGCTTCGTTACCTACGTCATGAAGAAACATTAAAATAAAAACCTACGTTATTTTCTTCCCAAGTGGTCGAAATATTTTCAGCACGAATAAAAACCCTGCTCCCTTTTTGCTTAACAATTTCCGTTCCTACCATATTAGTCAGATTATTCATCGCTATTGTCTGAAACGCATTTTTGATGTGACCTAACATTTAATATCTGCTTCAGCCGCGAAACAATAAAAATAAATCCTTGTAACATAAAAATTTTAATCAGAAGACCTGCACACCATCGTCAGCTTTCTCTAAGCTCTCTCCAGCAGGATTCCAACATAACTCTTGCTGACTGCCATACTCTTCCAACTCCAAAAATGACTGTATCCTATCTAATGAAACCTTAGATTCAAAAATGTGTTGTAGGGAAAATGGAAAAAAAAGCGTTAAAGGAAGTTGGAAGGAACTGAACAAGGCAACCTGAAAAGGGTTCTTGAGAAGTGTTTTATGCTGCTGAAAAAATGATATAAAAAAATAAAAGCCATTCAGTAAAAAAAACCGTTTGTTTTTGGAAATAAAATAATACTTACGACTACAAAGACGTGTTCAGATGTAATTTCATTACCAAGAAACAAATACATTAAGATAACGGATAGAATTATAAAATTCCTAGAGCCCCAGAATGTTCCCATTAACAACGACTGGAAAATATTATTTTTCTTCACGTACTCCAACTCCTTCCTGAAATTTTTACCCGGTTATCCCAAGCCCTGATCTTCAGAATTGACTCACTTTCTACCAACTGTAATTCCAATTCCAATAAGTATTAAAGAGACTTTCGAAGGTCCGCAATTATAGTGGCAAATGCGTCCTCCCATGCATACATCTTGACCACTCGAATACCGCTTAAAATCTCATTCATAACGCTAACACGTTTATCACTTTGTGCAGCTACTAACTTCCTGTAAATTTTTGAGCATTTGAAAAAAATTAAAATTTATATCGTTCTTGAGATCTCTACTTTAGCTTTAGACTTTTGTCAGAGAATTGGTTTAGATGAACTTTATCTATTATTCTTATCATCCTGAATGCATAATAGCCACGCCACACTAAAATCACTAGTTGTATAGACAAACAAATTAAATTTAGCGCTTAAAACCCTTTAAATCAAATAAAAGTTATACCTGAACCTCCCCATCTGTCGACTGAAATATGACTGGGCCGGGACGAAAAGCACAAGTGTTACGAAACCAGCAGTACAGGAGATGCCAATTTTATCCCACAGTACACAGAAGTAGGCAATGAGCATTAGCGGACCAACCCATAAATAGTTTATAAAAAGGAAAAGCTGAAAAAATGACACAAGATTATTTTCGTTTTGAAAAACTGCGGAACATAAATTAATGTCATAAAAGAAGGATTAAGAATCGGTGTCATCTTTATGCCCACGAAATCGAATCTTGCAACGTCGTTTGACATCACGGTAATAATATGTCCAACAGTTGTGCGATGCAATGCGCCACAGCTTAACCGTAGGCCCTTAAAAGAAGTTTAATACTATTCAATTTAACCACATCTCTCAAAAAAAGTAACAGATGCACCTACCCTCCAAAAAAACCATCTATATCACCAATAAAACAAGAGTTGCTGAATCCATTCTAAAGTGAAACGAGTGTAAAACAACTGGCAAAGGAAAATCAAACAGAAGTACACGACTAAAAAAACTAGCAAAAACCTTCTTCATGATCATCCCACATGAGGCCACTTTCAGTTCCATACCCAATTCTTGCATATAGTAAAAGTATGGATGATGTATAAATGGTGTCACCACTCCTATAACGGCAATACTAGCAGCAGCAACGTATGCATCAGCTAAGGTTAATTTAGAACCAAAACTGAAATATCGTAAAAGGCGGCCAATCATTACAGGCTGCATTAGGATGAAACCCTCCTAAATTTAAGCAGCTGTAGAAGGCTTAACAGTAATAACGGTGGCAGACAAGAAATAACGAGAAAAAGGGAAGAAGGTAGGTAGGAATGATGACCTACTTGAATAAACAGCAAAATTCCAACTGTAAAAGCACGTCGTAGATAAATTCGCATGACCGCTTTAAACAATGAAGATTTTCTATCATTTTTCTTAGCCTCAGCTAATTCATCTTCCCAAATTCTAAATAAAAATAGTCAAAATCATAAAGCCCAACATAATCTAGACAAAACTTAGCAAGGAACAAATTAAAACAAAGTCTTCCCCAACTTCCTGCCAACTGACAGAAAAACAACTAACCGTTAGAAATAAAAGTTAAAAAGAATTACTGAGTCAATCTTTCAACAGCATTCTTTGCTTTATGATTTGGTATTGGCTCATACATATCGCCTGCCTCCAGCTTTCTTCTGAATCCCCGTAACAATAAGGGAATTATATATCTGAATAATTTTGCAAGAAACAATAATGACTTAAAATGGTACAGTTGAATTAACAATACTTACTTCGTTTTAACATAATCAATTCCTACAATTCTTTCCTCTTTTCCAGAAGCACTGGAAATAAAAATGAAATTGTCAAATTTCAGACTACTCATAATCCGCGTGCTGATAAAACTTACACAAATGTTATTCGGGAGAAGAGATTTGCTGACACTTCCGGATTCCTTCGTAATTTTGGTTCCGCCATTTCGAACCTGAAACAGATATATGATAAAAACAATTTTCTTCTTTTTTCACCTTGCATCAGTAGTAGTGACAACCAAATTTAACGACTAGACGAACCATAAAATGAATAACGTTTTCTATCAAAAGTTTCTACTCATCAAAATATGACATTAAATTAGTTAGACAGTTTAGCCATAGCGGCAGTTACAACTGCTATTATTCAAAATCGGACCTCAAAGCAAAAATTTTTGTAACTTATGAAGGGAAAAAGAAGATAATTCTGGCACCAGTTGGCCAAAACGGCACAAATCACCATCTAAAAATTCGGGCTTCAGCTATACAAGATTTCGTTTATATAGCTGTCACTTCAAACTTTCAGTTTTTCGTCAACCCTTATATCTCCGTCTCTAAATTCTATTTGACATTCCTGCACTATAGCTTAGTGTTACGCCTCGACTCTACCAGTTAACGACTGTTGAACCAGTAGAACTGCAGCAAATTTCTCAAATTAACAATACTACTTTCTGCGAAATGTTTGGAAATTTCTGCACAACAGGTATTATTCAAAACGTGAATTATATGAGAATCTGCCGAAATTCTCGACAGAACGATGTCGGAGGTCTATTCGCCGACAACTGCATCATAATTTAAAAGCCGTTTGAGGGAAAAGCTTTGAGCTGCATCACAAGGGTACGAATTTTTCAACGCTGCTAAATCATTCAACAGTCAAGGCTTAAACTAAACCTAAACCAACCATTTCCAAATTATCTGCTGAAATCTTGCAGAAAGTGCGTTCAACCGACGTTTACTGTCTTTCCTTCAGCAGTTTCTTCGGCAATATTCAATTTCTATTTATGCTTCCATAAAATATAAAACAGTATACTTTAGAGCGGTAGCGCTTAGATTGATCTTTAATTGATCAGTGAGAACAAAGTTTGTTGAAAAACTGACTTTGCATGACAGTGAATGCAGCTAGAGCAGGCTCAAAGCAGCTTTGACGAACAGCACCGAGCAGACTTGAATATTTTGTTGATATTGTGTCGGAGGCGATTCTGCCATGAGAATCTGTTACATATTGCAACAATATTTCAGCAAATTTACTAACAATTCAGCGATGAATATCAAATCAAATTTTTTTGTTCAGCAAACAATTCAAAAAATCGAACAGTTGAGACGCGCACATTAAGAGCGGAGAAGAGAAAAATAATTTGAGTACAGTAGAAGAACAAATATTTTATACTTTCTCTTTCTCGACTAATTATTTTGCAAAAATATACTTTCAAGCATATAAAATGCTCTAGTTTCTTCTAGTTGAAATAATATTTACTGATTTGTGAAGCAAGACATTTATTAATTACAAAAATGCTCCAAATGTTTGTCACCAGCTAGCTGAAAACAACAAGCAACTGAACAAATCTGAACAATTTCAATAACAGTGGGCAACAGAAACAAATTAGACCTTAAAATGTTAACTATATATATATGCTTAGGAGATAAGTATCCTACAGCAACAGATTACCAAATAAACCAGTTTCCAGTCACCGAATGAATACCAAAAGCGTGAATGAAGAAATCGGAAAACTATAGACCAATTATATGTTAAACTGGAGAGCGCTCCTTTTGAAAATTTCAGGAAACTGAAAAGACCAAAAAGAAGCAGTCATCTGACAAGCTTCGGAATTGAGTGTACTTAAACAGGTGAGTAGACTGGCAAATTTGAGACTGCAAAATATAGTTGAAACAAGGAAGAAGTACTCACTAAAAGGTCATACACTATTATACCCTGTAAGAAATATACTGTATTTTTCATTCCATTTCTTAACTTTCTTCTTCTCTAAGAACAGCAGGGAGAAGAAGCAATAGAATATTGTTGCTAGTTTAAAATTTTATTTCAAGGAAATTCTTGGAATGTAAGAAGCAAACAAAAAAAAAGAACTGTTTCTGATAAAGCATACCGGTGCTGGTGCGGTTGGTAACGAAAAATTTCCAAGCATTCAAACCTTTTAGCTTTTTTTTTAAACGTAGGATCCATTTTTATCAGTGGGCGAGAAAAAGTTGAAACGAAGGCCATGGTACTGAAGATTTACAGTTGGTGGGTACGCATA